TTTTTTCCGCCTCTTCGGGCCTTAACTTGACCAAGTCGTATAGCGACAGGTTCGGCTTCATCATCCTTTTTTTTGCTTCGTTCGCGAACTCCTCGTCGTCGTACCAAGATGTATCGAGATTCATCGGCTCATAATAGAATCTGTGCTTGGTGAAAATTCCCATGATTTTCAGGGCGTCGTCTCGGTTCAGTTTGTATCCTCTATTCTCGAGTATGTCAACCATGATCAGAGCGCGAGACCCCCATCTCAATCTATTCAAGTAACTGCAATTAAAAATGACTCTTTGAAATGCCGCTGGTACCAAATTCTTAGCAAAATAACTCTCAGAGGGAAAAACGAAGTTGGACAGATCAGCGCCGTATTTCAAGAGTACATCGAGAGTTTTTGCTGCAAGGCTCAACACAGCTAATTGCAGTGGTGTACGGCCCAACTTGTCCTTTGCATCGATCTCCACTGTCCGCTTGATTTTTTTGTTCATAATGAAGAATAACTCGACCAAGCCATCGGCATCGTCTATTCTGTCGCAAATGATATGCAGAGGGGTCTCTCCCTTGTTGTTGACTACATTCGGATCTGCGCCATGTTTCAACAGCAATTCGACCACGTCTTTTGTGTTATGTCTCAGAGCCAAGATCAGCGGCGTATCGCCCGTTTCTCGAAAGACGCAATTAGGATCCTGTCCGAACTCGAGGAATTTCTCGACGACGTTATAGAGGCCGTAGCTGCAGGCTTTATGAAAATGTGTGCATCCAAATTCGTCGGTGTAATTCACGTCGAATCTGACGTATATTTGAAACAGATCATTGAGAACCTCAAGATAGTCGAATGAAGTCACGAGATGAATCGGTGTGGTACGACGCAAAATTATCTTGCCATTTTGATTTACCTTGGGTTCGTCCTTGTAGCCGGTGTTGATCACAAATCTGATGAATGGCTTTGGGTCAATATCGTTATGAAAGTAATTCTTTATAGACTCCATGAGAAGCTGTTCAACAGCTTCGGGCCGAAAAATGTCTCGCAGATTCGGGAGTTGGCCCTCGTAATCCCTCACCAAAGAATGAAGTTTACGAAGAAACTCGTGATTTATTTCTTGGGCCATTGTTTTCACGCACTCACGCAAACAGAATCGCTTATAATGCAAAACACACAATTACAAACTCTTTATATCTTTCTTTTGTTGTTCACGCTTCTGCGTCGTAACGTGTACTGACTGTAATATAATAATTCGCTTCGTGCGTGTGCTTCGAGAATTTTAGAATTTAGAATTTAGAATTTATTTGTGTATGAGTTAGCCAATAAAGTCGAGCCGATAAAGAAAATGATCTTATCGCTCCAAGTAGAAAAGATTATCGAAATACTGACGTTACTCGCGCAGAAGCTACATTTCAGGCTCTCTGTACGAGCTAAATTTTTTAACTCGAACAAAAAAGTATCGAAATGTGCTGAGAAAATAATAGATTTTCTGATTGTGTAGTCGAATTTCGGCAATTTTCATCGGATAAACAACGAGCGAATTTCGGACATTTACTCGCGGAGAGAAACTATTACTTTTTTCACATTGTTCGCACACCCGAATGAACTTTGAAACGATCATTTCTTAGTATAAAGTGTATAAAAAAATATTTTTAAGATGATCTCATCTAAAACGTTAATCGTTATCGTTGTTTCTTCATTGCCACCTATGATGACTATAAAGAGATTATTTTTCCAATGATACGAACCTTTCGATGTATACAATGTAAGTGATAATCAATACGTACGATTGAATGTAAATAATGAATATTGAAAAATTATTTAATTCAAAATTAAATTATGAAAAATTTATAAAAAAATCAGCTGTTTATGAACAGCTGCAAGATGTGAAACATTTTTATCAATTAATTAAAGAAAAATGTAGAATTAAAAAGTAAAATAAAAAAAAACTAGAAAATAAAGAAAAAATAAATTTGAATAAAAAAGCTAGAAATCTAAAATGAAATAAGTAAAAACTAGAAAAGTAAAAAAAAAACAAATTAAAAACAAATTAAAAACTGAAAAAAATGAAAAAAATCAGCTGTATATGAACAGCTGCAAAATGTGAAATATCTTTATCAATTAATTAAAGAAAAAAATTAATTAAAGTAAATTAAAGAATTAAAAATTAAAATAAAAAAAAATAGAAAATCAGGAAAATATAAATTTAAATAAAAACTACGAATCAAACAAGTAAAAGTCGAAACAAAAAAGTAAGTAAAAATAAGTAAAAAATTAAAAACAAATTAAAAATTGAAAAGTCAAGAAAAAAAAATAAATTTAAATAAACACAATCTAAAAACAAACTAGGAACTAGGAAATCAAGAAAAAATAAATTTAAATAAAAAATCTAAAATCAAACAAGTAAAAAGTAAGAAAACAAAAAATCAAGAAAAAGAAAAGTCAGAAAATCCCAACACAAGCATCGATGTTTCACATCACGTAATAATATTTTGGATGTGCTGTACTGATTGCTTTGCGTGGTAATGAATGATACGATTTGAGATTACTTGATCGTGTATTTTTTAATAAAACCAAAAAAATAAAAATGCATATGCGTCATTTATTTATTAAAAATTAATATGGACAATTATATACATTATGACTTTGAGCTTTTTCCCAGTAACAAAAATTGTTGTTTTTTTTGTTTATAACAGTTACATATATATGTTGTAAACGTTGTCGTTATAACATCTCAGATATGATGAATTATTACACTATAATTCAACTTATAATTTCGATGCATTTTTTGTCAATCTCGTTCGAGTAAGCTCTTAATGAAGCAGTCATCGAGGATTTTTTTAAGGTTTTGGATCTGTGAATAAGGCGAGCACTGAGTTGCTTATAATGCATTTTTAAATGATAACATCGCCTAATGGTACGCCTATTTTGTGTGTACGCCCGGCATTCGTTGCTGCTCTGGCAACAAGCACTAGAGTTCCACGAATAACAGGAAATTAGACAGGAAATTTAGGAAATTTGCAAGGAAAGCATAAAATTACAAATCTAGGGTGGTTTGGAAAACGAACGATTCATATACGGGGCAAATTTCCTGCAGTGTCCTAGCGCTCTGCCGCACGGCATTTTTTGGCCGAATCACTCAATTTCTAACTCGCTGTAAAAGTATCAAAACGCCCCTCAAAAAAAAACTAACTAATTATTTTGATAGGAAATTTTCTCAGCTTTCTGATGGTGAGGTCTGATTTTCCAGAATTTTCCATTTTCACCTCGGAAAATGCAAGTAAACATTCAAACTCGAATATCTCGAAAAACGCCACTTTTTTTGCGTTTTTTATTGTTTCAATCGAAAGATGAGGTCTTTTTACATCGGATATGGTAGTTTTCAAAGTGTATTTTTGATGAAAACTAAGGAAAATACGGGAGGTTTTAGTTAGCGCTCGGCCGCTCGGCGCGATTTCTAGCCTTGCGCGGCCCGCTGTAACTTGTAACTCGCTCTTATGACATTGTGATTTGGCTGGAAAAATTATTAAACATATGGTTACGATAGGAAATTTTCTCAGCTTTCTTATGGTGCATTTGGATTTTCTGATAATTTTCATTTTCATTAGAAAAAGTAGAAAATAGACATTCAAGTCCATTTTTTCGGGTCGAAAAATGTCCAGGAGATCTTGGGGTTTACCCTTCCAGTTGCTGATCGAACCTACGAGTTGACTAATAAATTCGTGTCGCTCTTCTTCCATCTCCCAATTGAGCTTCCCTCGTGATCTCTTCAATTTTATGATACGAATCACACGTACGAAGGAGTTGACTGAACGAAACATTTCGCGCACTCACACACACGGTACACAATGTCGTAAATATTTTTTACTTTAGTCACGAGTGTCCCACGTGTTTTTTCGGTCGATGCGATCTTCGTGAAGCTGTTCACGTAGCGGCGTCGTAACTTATACTAACTGTCTTTACTTCGCTAGACTTAATTCACTTTCTAATCTTTACCAAATGACGCGGCATATATACGAAACTACAGATGCGTTGCAACGGCTACTTTCACCTACAAACTTGGATTGGCTGTAGCTGCGACTGTTGCAACTGACCATTTGGTACGCTGCGCAACGACCGTACCAACTCCCAATCATCACTTCAGTCGTGGGCGACGAATCTTTTCTAAAATTTTTTTGGGGTCTCCTGCAGATATATGAAAAAGAAAATTTAAATCATTTTTTCATACATTATTCATTAACGTACGTAACATATGTTGGGTGGTACACGAATTTTATGTACCCAAAATAAAATGTATAGTTTATTTTTCATATGACCCATCAAAGCACGAGCCGAAGACGCGAGCCGTAACTAGTTTTGTTAAAATACCATGTCTGACACAGTTGATAACAATTTTTTCCCCATGAAAGCTTAAAATTAGCGGCAAAAGTGCGTATATTAGTTTGAGTCAGAATAAGTTCATTGCCGTCTACCTTTACAAGTCAATTACTATACTAAATCGGATTCATTAGTACCTTCTCTAAAATTATTACATCAACGTAATCGCTATCGTTGCCTTAATTTTTAAACTCTAAACACTAACTAGCCGACTTATCAAGATTAATTACATTTCAAAGTTGAAAACTATTTCTGTTTTGCTGCGGCTACCGAATTAATCGCCTTAGTTTTATAGATGAAAACTGAATTTCTTTCGATATATTGTTCTAGAATAGTGACGGCAAATTGTCGTGTGTTTTTTCCTAATAATTTAAAAAATTGCTTTCAACGACCCAACGGAGAGTCAAGGACTCACATGTGTTGGACACACTCGGTCGGTAACTATATTCGCGTATTTTGTACCCATTTTTTTCATTTAGTATACAACCTATGGTCTTGAAATTTTGTGGGAGTGATCATGAAACTAATACAAATGTGCCTATGAAGCTATTTTTTCAGATAATTGAAAAAAAAATTGTTACAATATTTATATGAAAAAATAGCTTCATAGGCACATTTGTATTAGTTTCCTGATCACCCCCACAAAATTTCAAGACTAATGGTTGAATAGAAAATGAAAAAAATGAGTACAAAATACACGAATTAGTTACCGACTACAGTGTGTATAGAGAGGCCTTAAAGAAAGATTTTTCTAAGAAAGATTAAAGGCTCTAAGAAAGATTTTTCTTTCCATCGTTGACTGAACTTTTCCAAGTGATGAAATTTTTAATTCTGGGCATAGATATACATAGTTATTTGTGCACTAACTTTTTCGCTGACCTTATTATATCCGCAGTCCTAGCCCGGCTAAATCTTGCTGGACCGTAACTTTATGTCTTTCTCATCGCCGTCGTGCTTCGAATGCTCTGCTTTACTTGCTGTCGTACAAGCTCCAAATTCTTCGGGAGTAATTCGAATGCATAATTTCAACTTAGGAATTTCAGCTTGGATCAACGATGTGAAAGATGTTTTTTTTGGAGTAGCCGATGTGCACGAAGAAAGAGTCGCAGCGAGGTGAAGTAGAGTTCGATTATTTAAGTTTAACGTTCGTGACAAATGTTTGCGAGAAACTTGAAAAAATGCAATAACAACCGCGAAGATGAGAGCTTTATGAATAATTCTGTGGTGGTGCACCTCCGCGGTCCGTATCTTAAGAAGGAGACAAAAGTTTACTACGCGATTAACCATCAATACGATACAGACAATTATACTGAAAATTTAACGTGAAAAATTTTTAATCCGTTGATTTTCTTTCTTAAAGAATGATGTAGCTATTTTTTTTCATTGTAATTTTTTTTTATTATCGCGATAGATCATATAGAATCAATTTTAGCTAACTTCGAATTGTACTGAATTGTTTTATCGCGCAAAACGCTCATACTCATTTGAATTGTCATTTTACGATTTGTATACCCAAGAAAACCGTAAAATTTGATTAAAATATTCTGGATTAATTCAAGTTGAGCAATTTGGTTTTTTATAAGAAGTTTATTGGTTTTCTTAAAACTCAAAGTTTTTTTCAAGTAGTCAAATTGAAAAACAGAAGTAATCTAAAATATGATGATAATTGTTTTTTACAAAATTGAATATACATTTTATACATTTATTTGATCATAATGCGTGAAAGAAGCTCCATATTAATGCCAGTTTTGAGCCTAATTATTTGTCTCAATGTTTTTTTGTTGTGTATTGTTAGTTGTCGTTTTAAAATATTTTGCAGACATTTTTTTTCTGCATTGATCACGTGCATGGGTTAGCCAAAATGTACACATCTGAGGTGTTTATTTAGATAGCTCTTTGATGCAAATGACTTTCCACATAATTATTTACGGGCGTGAATATTATTACCGTGCGATGCTTCGACATGTTTCTTGAGAGTCCTTTTTAGCGCAAACTTTTTACCGAATGTATTACATGTGTGAGTTATTTTATTATGGATTGAATCCACGTGGATTTTCAGTACATCCTTTCGTGAAAATGTCTTGCCGCACGTATTACATGGGTGGGTGATCTTATTATGCATTGAATTCATGTGTTTTTTAAGATTGCCTTTAGACTTGAATGTCTTTCCGCATATTTCGCAAGTAGGTGCCATACCATTATGAATCGCATCGATATGGATTTTGAGAGTATCTTTGTGTTTGAATGTCATTCCACAGATACCACAAGCATGTTTAACACCATTATGAACTGCATCGATGTGAACCTTGAGATGTCCTTTTTGTGTGAATGTCTTTTCACATACACCACACGCATGTTTAACACCATTATGAATCGCATCAATGTGAATTTTGAGATCACCTTTTTGTGTGAATGTCTTTTCACATATACTACACGCATGTTTAACACCATTATGAATTGCATCGATGTGAATCTTGAGTTTAGTCTTCGTTTGAAATTTCTTTCCGCATATTTCGCAAGTAGGTGCCATACCATTATGAATTGAATCGATGTGGACCTTGAGATGTCCTTTTTGTGTGAATGTCTTTCCACATGTAACACACGTATGCCTGACGTCATTATGAACTGAATCGATGTGGACCTTGAGAGTACCTTTTCGTGAAAATTTTTGACCACATATATTACATGGATGTTGGGTACGATTGCGTGCCTTATCAGTTTGGGTTTTGTATTGACTATTTTGAGCAAATGTTTTTTCATTTGCATCTAATGCATCACTGAGTTCACCATCCAAATTCAATTCCTCTTTTACTTCGTCGACAATTTCTTCTTTAATTTTCTTTTGAGTCTGATAATCGCCACTATTTTTCATATGCCGCAAGTGATCTGGGTAATCGTCCTCGATCTTTTTGACTACTAATAAGTTAATGCCGAGCTTCTCGTCTTTACATTCGAATTCTATTTCCAAATCGTCATTAGGTCCAGAATTTTCATCATATTCTTGAAGCTTATGAGTCTGAAAATGTAATTTCAGATTAGTAAAATAATACTTGTTATAAATATTGACTATTACAGTCCCATATCCACACTCACAAAATTTTCTCGACGAAAACTCGAGAATCCGTCGGTTTTAACATCGTATGTATTATCAATCATCTTATAATCTTCATTTTCAATTGGGAAAACGTCATTTGGTTCCTCCTTGACTCTGCAATATTCACATTGAAATCAAGTATAATATTACAATTTTTTTTGAATTCCATTCTCACGAAATAAAAATTACCTGACATTACAGTTATATACACCACTGAGTTCCATGTTTATTACTCGGAACTTGATCAACGACTAATTGCTCAGTAATGATGTTACACATCGAACTAGGTAACTTAAAGATGTAATAATATTTACGAATCGTGAAATGAAAGTGTGAGAACATTTATGTCAACAGAGCTGAAGAGATCATTCCAAATTGGTCTCCGGTGTACTAAACAATTAACAATTTTCTATTGATTGTACTTTGTTAAATACGGTATGAAAAAAATATCGTATAAAAAATATTTTACATGAAACCCACAAGAGCTAGTATCACACGTAAATAAACACTTCCTCGTTCGAGTAGCGATCCATCGTAGATCGTCCCGTGGTCTATGCAACTTTTTTTTCTGTTTCCGCCTCGTACTCAGCCGACGAATCATCGGATACGATGTATACCTGTACATCGGCGCAGCCAGTGCCACAGTTGCGCTCGTTGCCGACGTTTTCGGAGCGTCAATAAATATATCGATACGGCGCGAAGGGAATAAAAGCAACGAGGAACCGAAAGATGAATGAAATCTGCAGCTCGAGCTGTGAAATTCAGCGATCCGGTGCGCGTATAGACGCGAGTCCGACAGTATTCATGTTTCTACACAGATAGATGGGGCGTAATCTTCTATAACGCGGACCACCAATTTCGACCGTCTGAAAAGCTTAATTTTTAACTAAAAAAAAGGATTTTCAAAAAGTTCTTTTTTAGCTAGAAAAAGAAAAGAAAGTAACTCTTGAAAGTTAATTATTTCCAAAAACGCCTGTTTTCTCAAATTTTTTATCCTGGCATCGAAAGATGAGGAAAAAAATGAATACCACGTATTATTCTCTTCAAGTGCACGGCCGAATGTGCGATAAAAGATTACACGTAACTCGCCCCGGTAATATGTACTGTTCGTTCGGGCTCTCGATGCATCGGAAAAATTGAGCAATGATTGATCCCGTAGAGCCAGATCACAAATGAGGCCAACTTTTGTTCTTGCCAAATCAAGCTTCAAACGCAAGAACAAGTAACGTCGTTGGAAGAAACTACGACAATTCGATGATCCTCCCTCGCGTGCACCGCAACGCGTACACACAGACACACACATAATCTCGGGGCCAAGCTAGTATGGCTCAGAAACAGACGTCAAGTTATTATTTCCATTAAAATTTGCAACTACACGCGATACTGTCCAATAAAACTCACTACTTTTGACACGCTGTATACATAAGGACTTTAACTCATACTCAATACGATCGAAACTGTAAACCACTTTTAAATTTAAATTTTTAAGTTGTTCGACTACCGGGTCTTAAATTCTGAGCTCATTGTGCGCTAGACCAAAGCTTATATCCCGCGTCATAAATTATATCTCAACTCTCTGGCGCGCTCGCGCTTTCTGTACTGTAAGCAAATTTTTAAATACATAGATAATTGAAAAAAAAAAAAAACGCAGAGGAAGCTTACTATTATCACATTGAGACTATCAATTCAGGCTTGAATTTATTTTTTAATAGTGAAAATATAAAGATAACAAATACAATCAGAATATCAGTTTTCATCTTTTATAAATACTCAATAATCAGAGTTCAGGTTGTGTTCAGATGAATTTAAAAGCCATGGACAGGCAAATTCACATTAGCAAGGTGACATTGCTAGTTTCATATATAAACAGTGTTAATGCGACATCATTTTTTATCTATAAAGGCACCATCTAAGCTGCGAATGGTACAGAAACTATAACTGATCACCCTGCATTTCATGTATTTAAAAATTGAAAAGTTAACATTTATAAATAATGCAAGTTAGTCTATTATTTTACGTTCGTCAACTACATGACATTTGTTAGATTATTTATGAAATTGATTGAAGATTTTAAGTTCTATAAGGTCAACTTTAACTCAAAAGTTTATTTTCAATGTCTAACTCATTTTACTCACAAAATTATTTTTGTTCTTTATATTACAACCTTAATAAAAAACTACAAGCTAGTTTTAAGATATTTGACAACTAAGCACATTGATGAAATAATGATTGCACAGAAAAGATTTTTTTTGAATTTTTTATTTTGAAACCTTATGAATAAAAAATGTTACTTAATGATGAGTGGCAGCAGCAGCTTTTCTCATTTGAACAAGGATGTTTCCAAGCTCTTCACGCTTCCTTTTGGCACGGATGTGTGTTCCCAACTGTAAAATTGATGAATATTAAATACAATTCAAAACTTCCAAAGCAACTACATATATAGTATCAATACGTACCCTCCTCTTAAGGAATTTCAAAGCACGTTTGTCTTTTGACACTTTCAATAATTCCATCGCACGTTTTTCATAGGGAGCGTGACCACAAACTTCCCTTATGAGGTCTCGCACAAACTTGCTGTGCTTGGTCTGACGCTGAAATAAATTCAACAATGAGAATACTATATTAAAACATTTAGAGTAACAGAGACTATTTATTCATAGATATAGATGCAATTTTTGTATGAAGTCATCTGTTAATAACGTATATTTTTATTTTCAACCATTCTGTAATGATCCCAAAGCCCATTGAATAATGAAATCTCTATGTAAGTGGTTGTTTTATAATTGCAAAATTTTAACCTATAGAGGTAGAGAATACAAGTGCAAAGGTACTTACGCCTTTTAGTCTAGCGGGTCGGATCACTGTTGTCCGGTCTTTTTCACATAGGTTCTTAGCGACTCGGATTTTGGTGGTTTTGTGGCCTTTGTTCAAGCCAATAGCCAATTCGATCCTCGGAGCCATTGTTGAACTGTAAAAAAAATAAATAACAGGCGTCAATAATGAAGGTTATACACATAAACACAATTATGATTAACAAATCGCAGTGTATGATTGTGCGTTAAAAGAAATGTTTGAGAATTCAATAACTAGCGACAATAAGGATCATAATTATGATAATAAATGTTTAAATAGTATAAAGATTATAAATTTTTAGTTTACTTTTTCTATTACACGACACGGATCAAAATTCGGTAACAATGCTGCAACATGTGCGCCGGTGGCAGCGTCGTCTGCCACATGCGTGCGCGGTGTAACTTCTTTATCGACCATCTCGCTGTTGCCAACTTATGAGCTACGCGGCAATTCAATTTGATACCCGGGACGTGTAAAAACATGCTCCTATACGCTGACAACAAAGTGGGAAAGTGAAAAATTAAGTAATTAAAAATAATTAACAGTATATTAATTTATTTTTTCATGAAACAGCAAATAAGCATCATCAACTGTTAATGTAATAAATTCTTCGAAGTCGTAGACTTCGAAGATATCGTCGTTAAAATGATAACAAACATTTTTTCGTTTTACATAAGCTATTTAATGTCCTTGATTAATTGTTGTCCCATGATGGACAATTACACTTTTCAATGTAAAAACGGTATCCGATTGATTATTCCCATTTCTAAAATGAAACAAAATTTATTTTTTGAAATAACCAAGCAATCTAAAAAAAAATTATAAAACTTACTCGAACGTATACAAATATAATTCGCGAGTAATCTCTACGGCATTAAATGATTTTTCTCCGTTTATAGAAAATCTTTTGATAACAAAAATCAAATATTTCGGTGAATAAACTATTTTATTTTCAACTTGATTTAAAAATTCTTGATTATACATCTTTAACAGTGCTGTTGTCTCATATCAAGAGTGTAATTAATGAATAAATTTTTTTTATAATTTTTATATTTAATTCAAAATTGCACTCATCATCCTGGGGTAACGTTATGAACAGAATGTTTTCTTCCAGGGGAGAACATTCCGTTTCAAAGTTACAGTTTTTGCATTTAGTAATTTGTTGGAATCCAACAGTAAATAAATTGTCAATGAGACTTTCTTTGGAGACCAATACAAGATCAGCTTGCAACAGGGTTGCAAAAATTTTAATTCAATTTTCGACAAGTAAACAATTACATTTCAATTGTTAATTATGAACCGATCCAATTAACAGTTGAAATGTAATTGTTAATTGTAAATAAATCCAATTTACAATTGAAATGTAATTGTTTAATTGTCCAAATTTTGGCAATATTGCAATGCGATTCTTATCGTGTAAACAAAATTTACACGATTGTCTGTTAAAAAAAAATGTTAAACATTCTCTATGCGCTCGCCGACCACAAAATTCACACTTATAGTAAAAGGTTAAATATTTCATTTGGTTTTCATATCCGATGCATATATCATCTAAGGAGAAAGATTTTAGAATGATAATTTCCGTCAACAAAAGTCTAAATTTATCTGATGCGTAGTTTTCGTAATTGTCAATCTGACTAAGACTTTTTTTCACTATGCGATTCATGTATTTCATAGCATGAATCACACAGTTGTACCCATCATTTTGTCATGGCATCTTCTTCGAATTCTGAACCATCTTCCAATTTATTTTTGTTAATTTATTTTCCGAACATTTTTCCAAGTATTATATAAATATTTGCGGTACTCTTGTGATTGGCAATCTAATACCAAAATGTAGCAATGTAATGCGTATATGTAGGGTATGAATACGATGTCCTTAAATTCATATGAAATTTTGTAAATAAAAAAATCGTTGCTTTTATTTCTTCATTCCTGTTATTTACTATAATCCAAGTGTTCGTGTTTGTAGGTATGAAAGATACATTTGGCCATTTCTTTTCTTTGATATTGAGAATGCAGAAAAAATCGAAAAATTGATGATTCTATGAATTCTTCATTAAATAAAGTTCTAAATTCACTTAAGTAGACATAACGTTCAGATCCAGTGCGCGACCCAAAGGAATTTAAATCATCGTAATTATAATGTGCGACGATTGCATATTTCTCAAATTTGGCATCTCGAGGTTGCATCAAAGAAAGGTTAAAATCCATAATCGTTTGACTAGAAAAAACCTTTTCTATTTCATTCCTCAGAACTTGCAACCACAGTGGTTGTAATAAACTAATGAATCGTTTTACAGGAAGTTCAATTGCGCTTGAGTTATCATTGGTTACATCTGTGAAAAAATATTGCATAACTATAACCATATAATTGCCGTAATTATTCACAAGCTATAAATAAGTTTACCATAATTTGATGATCATCCTTCTTAGATTTTATTAAATCATAGTGTTCAAATTTTGCCGGTGATTCAAAGGAATCTATGTTAATAAAAAAATTAAATAATATACCTGGGTTAAGCCAATGTATGTTTTACTTACCCAGAGCTTCATGTGGCGTAGGTACGATTTTTTTCAGTACATTATTTTTTTTCTTTATGTTGAAACTCACTTGACGATTTCGAGTAATCCACTATGATAAAGACGAGGAATAAATTTGTATAAAAATTTGCTGAGAAATAATTTTGTACGTCGATATAAGCATACGTAAACATACCTTTATCGTTTTCATTTATGTTCGGTTTATTTAAATAATTAACACGCAGTTTTCTCTTTACTTTCTTGATCGATTCTTCTTCTTTGGCAATTTTTATACGATTTATATAATAAGTATGATCATGAAGAAAGGCTTTTTCAAGAGCAGCTAAATTAATATTTTCAAATGGTTTTACTGGATTTTTTTCTCGACTAGAAGTATTAATTGCACTAATTATCATTTCGTCGCTAATTTCTTCATATGATTTATCTTCGCGCAAAGGCATTGCTAATTGACCATCAAATAATATACTTTTCGCTGTTTCGAATTTCAATCGATTGCGCAAATTTGTCTTTTCCAAATTTTATTTGCTCCATACCCTTTCGGCCCTCGCGTTTAAATTTGGTAAAAGGAGTATTGATATAACAAAATCACATGGATCTTTGAAGCAATCTTTATTTTTTAATGAATAAGCTAAGATTTTACCCCAAAATAAATCAGCTTTTCTTTCTTCTGTAATTTCTGTTAACAAATCCAGCGTGAGTATATTGTAGAATTATTGGTTAGGATTATTGGTTAGGAATGTACTAAAATACATTCTTTTTTTTTAATAATTCTCATACTTTTTTGTTTGAATGATCTTTTAATTTATAAAAATGACATCAGGATATAAAATAATTTCAAAATAATGTTTTTAAGAAGTATTTGTTGTTATTAGTGTTAAAAAATAAAAATTGGAAATTAAATAGATAATAACTAACACTTTGAATAAAAATTATATTGCTAATTAATATTTTTTGCATTTATTGTTGAAGAATTTTTCGCTTACAACTTTTTCCAATCCATCTTGAGATGGTTCATAATTGTTACCGCTCTTTTTCATCAGTTGCTCAGTGTAAATCATTCCGTTAATTGTATCAATCATCATTTCATTTTCTAATTTTGATTTCGCTGAATCGACGTTCGGGAAAAACATTTTATGCCATAAGGCATGAAAACAAAGTCACTGTTTGTATCTTTTGTGCTTATTTACGTTGGACGTCGCCAGGTAGCGCTGTCTCAAGAGCGTCGTTCTCGCAAGTGCCAAAGCGAATAAGCGAGCATATAAGAGACGTTGATCTTAGTCAAGTGCAGACCTTGAACGTTTTTAACGTTTTGAACGTTTTTACGAAAACGCGAATGCTGCTTTTTCGTTGACTCTCTCCCATGCCTTTTCTTTGGTCATAATGTAGAGTTTCTGTCTTTTTATTGAAAATATAGCATCCCTGTGAGGTGCTATACATTTTGCTAGTAGCTCCTTTTCTTCTGGTGAGAATATTATTCTTGGATTATTCTTACTTATTTTTTGAATTTTGAGTTCAATGAATAATCAGTCAACCTTTCATATTTATATATAATATAGCTACGCGTTATATAATATATAAAAATAGCAGCAACACATTAATATATAATCTGAAGTTGCACACAAAAGACAACCAGGGATCGTACAAACAGAATTATCGAAAAAATAATTACCCATTGGTTATAGTTACCTGATTTAAAGAGATAGATTTTCTGATCAGTAAATCTGCAAATCAAATCTACATACATAATGCAAAACTGCAACTTTTCCGATGATCCTGTCCTGCGAGGTTTGCATTACGACGGCTACAAATACTGCGTAAAAAATTTCGCAAAAACAAGATAATTTAAACGTATAATACAAAGCATATGCTTGAATTATTGCGCGCATAATGGCAGCTTAAGATGCTATCTAGAATGAACATAGTAATTAAACGGTTGGCGGAGGTAAATTATGAAATGTTGATATAGTTGGAGAAACAAAGCTTTTATTATTAACACATAAGAAAGTGAGAGCATAGAAAATAGGTTAAATAATAACACACACAGAAACAAAAACGTGAAGATCAGAGCAATAGTGAAGCTTGCACCTCTAAACTCTCCACAAACGTCTATAAAAGGAAAACAAAAGCAAGATAGGAGCCGCTCGCTGCTTGCGCTCCACAGCACAAGAAGTAGCGTCCTGAAGTCAACTGCATTGACGCGGCCAACTATCAAGTTAATGCAATACACGCATTGTCGACTGCCCAACGCGATTACATATTTTAAATAATAAAAACACGCGGGTAAGTGTAGGGGTGCGTGAACAATTATTTACTCTATATGTGCATAGTGCAAAAACGCATCAACGAGAACAGAGTGCATGTATAAATGAGATACAGAAAGAGAGAGGGAGACAGAGAGCGTTTGCCGTAGCATGTCATCGCGAGCGTGCATCACTTGACGCGAAAAAAGCCGTGTCGATGCCATATTGTTACGTGGGACCGCTGAGCGGTCGTGATGCGTCGACCTAGCATGGCTCGCGGCCGTTCGTCGCCAGGCGCAGCTCCTTAGCCCGCTCGGAGTATCTCTTTATTAATTAATTAGTTTCTTAGTTATTCATTACCCGAGCACGTACCCACGCAACGATATAGTCGCTTTAATGCAAATCTGTCAATTTTCCCGAGATATTTTTTGGGGGTACGGTTGCATCAAAAAAGAATGCCCAGCGGTATTAAAAATCGAAGCTAACTATGATACAAACAGCATCAAAATAAAAACGGAGCACAATTGCATTAAAAGTGACCACTAAAGTCTGGAGAGGCGTTCGTTCAGAAAAATTGTAAAAGAAAAAGCTGCAGCTCCCCCTGAAC